CGCCGCTGCGGCCGGGAGGTGGGGAGCCGCGGCGCGCGGCGGGGTGGAGGCGGGAGGTGGGGTCGGGCGCAGCGCGTCCTCGGACTTTCGCTATTGTGCACGGCCCGCAGTGGCGCGCGGTCTCCCGGCGACTGCAGGCGGCCCGGCGCTTTCCGAGCTGCTGCTGCAATTGCCCCGGGGGAAGGAGGTGCCGGGGGCAGCGGTGCTCGCGCGGTTCAGGGTTGGAGGGGCTGAGTCCTGGGGGCCGGAGGCTCTTTCTCCCGCCTACCAGAGCTGCTCGCTGGCCGCGGACTGGCGCGCCGCAGCCGCCCCCTTGGCTCCCTCCCCAAGTTCCCGGTGGCCCGAGACTCGCGCCCTCCCGACAAAGAGCTCGTGGGCCCGCCTGGTCCTCTTAGAGCTCTTTAAATGCGGCGCGGCGGCCAGTCTGCGGGCCGCCGCCGCCGAGGTGTCCCGGGGAAGGGGCTGCAGGAGACCTGGGGTCCCCACGGGACGGGATTAACTCGTTTGGCCAAGAGCGCGGCGGAAAGTAGTGTCCGAGAGGGTGCACGGTAGCTAGGGTCACTTCCTCACCAGCTGCCCCGTCCTCTTTTTGCCCCAGGATCCCGCGCCTTGGAACTGCAGACATTCAATGTGCTTCTCCAGGGCGAGTGGCTGGGGGTTGGGAGGGGACGATCGAGGGGCGCCCGGGACCCCGCGGAGTGGAGGGTTTTGTCTGCGGATGCAACCAATTAAGCGTGCAGCCGGCGCTTGCAGAGCTGTGCGCGGCGCCCAGGGCAGGGGTTTTGTTCGCCGCGATTTCCAAGCCTCGGCGGGCAGGGCTGGAGCGGGACGTGTCTATTGAGAACATTTAAACTCCGCTTCCGCGGGCTTTAAAACTTCTTCATTCCTTAGCCTTAAAGCGCTTCCTTCATGGCAAAGAGGCCGACTAGAAAATAATCCTAGAGTCCCAAAGCCGCCCGAGAGCAAGGTGGGGAAATCGGACAATGTTTGCTTGCCGGTGCGTTTTAGAAAAACGGAGAGGGTTGTACCTTTTTGAAATCATCAAAGGAAACAAGCCAATCTAGAGGCCCCTGCGTTTTCCCGCTCTGCCCCAGCGACACTTTCTTTATACCGCGTTCCGATCCTGTTTTACACCTCCCAGGAAGTCTCTGCCCTTCCCCCCGCCCTGCTTCCCACCCGCCACCCGGCTCTCTCTAATTCTGCTAATTGCCCCCCACCTCCAAAAAATCATCCAGAAGAAATTGCAGCGGGGTCTGGGGTTGATTGGAGGTTTTACCTTTGAGTTAAGGCAGAGTTCACAAAGAAAGAAAAATGCGTCTCCGACGTATTTGCTTCGGATGTGCCCATTGGCGCTAGTGGTCCCACAGAAGCTTGCAGGGAAACTTCCCCAGATTTTCTCAATAGGATGCGAATTCTCATTGAAGACTTTCATGCGTTTTAAGTTAATTAGTCTCATTTAATCACCGAATCTGAGTGAAATGTAAATTGATGATTCACCGAATAAATATTTAGGATCTGGAATATTAATCATCGCTTTCTCTTAGCCACTTGAGTATTTACTACTTGGCACAGAAGCCATTTAAAGTTTTGCTAAACCTATTGATAGTTTCAATTTCTCCTTCCCAGACACTTCCAATCCTTCTCACTTTTTTCCCCTTTTTGTTTCCTCTAATCCACCTCCATGAGAGTTTTCTCAAAAGAAAGTTTTGGAGAAAAACCTTATTTTTATCAAAAGGTATTTAAATTTAGACCGGAGACCATGCCTACATTTCCAAAAGGAAGTGGAGAATTGAAGCAATTATCTAGATAATTCAAGCAAAACCTCCCACAACAGATTTACCATAATTATTTGGGAATTTTAGGGGGAATGGAGTTATTTTGAGTTGAAGAACACGGATAATTGCTCCAATATTTCACTCAATGTGTTGATTGAGTCAGAATTGACCTATAATGCAGATATATAGAGATGATTAAAAACTATCTTTTCAATATGGAATATTGTTGAAATGTTTATGATGTTAGCTTCATATTTCTGTTGTTTGAAATGCTAGTACAACGGATAGTAGTATTTGTGTAAAATGCTTATTATTTCTATGAGTTGCCAAATGCACAACCATGCAAATTTTACACCTTAAAAATGTATAACTTTCTAGAACATGCAACCTTGTCGGCCTTTGTTACCTTTTCAGGGTTGAAATATAATCTAGTTTTCATGTGCAAAATAGAATTTCCTCTTTGAACCCTTGGATTAAAAGTATAGTTATTTCCCCTTTCTGTAAACTCTGTACCATCATCCTCCATTTACGCCTGAACTGAATGTGTTCCAACAGTTCTGTTAAGCAGCACATGCAGAAAATATAACTATAGAGTCAGGGTCAATTTCTTTCAGACGTTCTTGCCACAACAGCGTTTTTTTTCCCCCACAATTAGGAGCCAACCGGTGAGCCCTCTCCTAAGAGACCCAGGGGAAGACCCAAAGGCAGCAAAAACAAGAGTCCCTCCAAAGCAGCTCAAAAGGTGAGAATTCTGAAGTCAAGCCCTCCCAACTTTCTCAGCGGCCACAGGAACCCCCTGTAATTTTCCTGTTCTAGATCCCCACCCAAGGGTTTGGCCCAACTGGGTAACCCAAGACTCCATTCTTGCCTTTAATATTAGTAAGATTTCTAAGCAGAGGCTTAGCAAAAGAGTTCATGAAGATGCTTACAGTGTTGTTTTTAAGCAAGCAAACAATCACGGAATAATAGGAAACTTAAAACGGGGGTGGCAGGGTGGGGAGGGGGAGTGGAGAATGACACAATTAAGAATTACGCCAGTTGTGAAATAGTTAAAAACAAATCCAATCTATAGATTCTGCCTAGTGGTGAAGCTTTTGCAAAATTTCCTTCAAAAATAATAAAGATTAATTTATTTTGTGCTTATTTACATGACTGCTACAAAACCAAATCTTCCTCTTAAAGTTAAGTATTTTGCCAAATAGATGACAATTAGAAGTAAATCGAATTATGGGATACTGGAAAAAATTCCGTGAATTTTGCATCTTTAAATGTGATGATAAAGTATGCTGTTTGTTTACAATAAGCCTGCAATGTAATATGTCGTAATCTCTCAAAAAGTCTTTCTGCCAGGTGATATAGAAATTTTCTAAATAGGACAATGAGAAGTTTTTAAAACAAATATTTGACTCACTTATTGTATATTTTTGGGCAGGATAAAACCCAGTCAAGTGTAACTTCCAGTATTTTTCTTTATAAAATTTTAAATTGCTGTTTAACTTCATGTTGGTTGTATTTGAGCTAGCAAAGAAGAAATACCTCAGGGTCAATACATGTATGGAGAAGTGGAGGTGAATATAAAATTCACTTTTTTTAGCTTTATAAATAAATCAGAAAAAAAAGTTTCTGTATTTTATTTGTAGGTTTGTATATTAGTTAAAAACAAAGGTTCAAAATTCAGAAGTAAATGTTGATATATCTTTTCAGTAGATTTGAGTACACCATGTACAGTATTTATTAAAAAGGACTATATGCTCATCTTTTTGGGGTTAATGTTTTGTGTGGTTTTTCTCTGTGACTGTGGGCACTAACCATATTATATGTGATAGTTTTTAGTGTTGTAAACTGCCATAGCAACCAGTGATACATATAAAGTTATTTAGGGAGTAACTATGAGTTCTTGTCTATTTTAACAGTCTTTAACAGAGTCGAAGGAGCAGATTTCTAATATATTTAAATATAACTGCTTCTCAAGAGGGAAGATTTAATTGTGAGTCACATTTAATCAATAAACTTTGAAGTAGCTCTAAGTTACTTTGTCATTTAAAAGTGACAATATATAATCCGATATTCCTAATATGAATACTTTCTATTTGTTACGTTTTACTTGGTTTATTAAATTAACTAAAAAGGGCTAATTTAACAAAGGAGTTTTTTTATGTTACCTAAGTGTGGGATTTACCTGACTTAATTTACTCCAATGAGATGGCAAAGAAATATCTTGGTAGGTTGCTAACAAACATTTAAACTATGATGTAATTGCTGTGAAAAATGAATCACTATAACATCTCCCAGGAAGAAATCTTTAAATTTCATCATAAAGAATTATTTAAAATTTAATACAGAAAACCCGAATTATCTTTCAGTTTTCACTGTATTACTTTTTTTTTGAATGAGTAAAGAGATGCTTCCATCACCTCTCTTCATTTTGAATATTTACCACTGACTAACACAATCTTTATTGACAAAAAGGAAGCTGAGAGTTGTGCCTAATTTGCCATCTAAAGCAAAATAACAAAAAAGTTGATCTCTTCCCAAGTAAGGGTTGATTTATTTTTAGTTACTTTAGTGATAGGCATTGACAAATGACCCTACTAGGCTCCTCATCTTCTTGATAGTTCTTCATGTGTATGCATACGTATTACAGCTTCCACAACAGAGGTTGGTTTTCTTTTTCTCAAAGAAATCCTTCCCTGAATCTTTCATTCTTCCAGACAAAATGATTTCACACAATTCTGTTACTGAAGTCTCCCTTCTAATAAAAGTGAGTAAATATATTTGCCCATAACATGACTGTTATATTTCTTCAGTTTTATAAATTACGCTTCATTTGGAGAAGATAATACTTTGCAAAATGATGAATGACATTGATGAATTGTTTATGGCATGTGTAAACTTAAGGTATTTTCACTTTCAAATCAGTATTTATGGAGTTTGCCACTACCCTATATAAACATGATTATCAAACATGTCTTTGTTTATCAAACATAAATAAATATTGTTTGATATTTGAATATTTGATATTTCTATATTTGAACAATATAGAAAGCAAATATTGTTTTCTAACAAAAATATGTTCGTTAGGATTTTGAAAAGCCATCTTTTTAAGAAAAAGTTACATTTTTCAGAACATGTAAGATAAACATACCCTGCTAGACTGACCAGAGTAGATATGAGAAGTTTTCTATGATTAATAAATTGAGTATTCTGCAAACTGAGACTCATCAAAATGAGACATATATACCAAAAACTGGTAAGTATACAAGAGAATAGAACTCTAAACTTAGAGGAGATGCAATGTACACTGGGATCCTGATGATGTGTGTTTAAAATCTCTTGCTGCTTGGAGTTTCTTTACTTACAAAATTTGTGTTTGGACTCAGTAACTGGCCTTGGGGCATTTGAAAACAAAATTGCTTGTTGGAGAATGAGCAGTGTGAAACCTGACAATGCGTGCAGAATGTGGCAGGACCGAGTGGACGACTGCTAAATTAGCAATCACTGTAATTTCAGGCCATATACAATATAAAATTGATTTGTGTAATATTTAAGATAAACATTTATAAAAACACAAGTTGTTATGCTGGGAACTTTTGGAAGAGAAGATAATTATTCTTCAATCTGCTCATATTCTGTTATAACAAATTCCCATGGATGACCATTGTGTAGCAATTCTAGCCATTCCTAAGAACTCCAATCTGAGTGCTCAAAATTTGTCCCTGAACCAGTTTCATATTGTTATCTTAATAAAAGAAATCCGAAGTTCATGTTTTCCTGAATAAATAATTTATCCATGTGAGTGTGAGAGTGTGTGTGTTTGTGTGTGTCTGTATGTACATCTCTGTGTGTGTCTGTGTGTCTCTGTGTGTGTCCGTGTGTGTCGCTGTGTCTGTGTGGGTGTGTGTGGATGTCTCTGTGTCTGTGTGTGTGTCTGCATGTGTATGTGTGTGTCTTGACCCTTCTGTTTATGTTTTAGTTTGAGATATACTTGTGACCAGTTGTCTCTTAATTTCCTTTTTGTTTTGCTTTGTTTTCCTCTCATGTTTGTGCTGGATGGAAATACTTTGTATTTTCACATTTCCCATGTTGGGAGAGAAGAAAGATATAATCTCCTTTATGTTTAGTTTAGGGTTCCTGTTGTGGCTTTTTGATCATGAGGGAATACTTGAGGGGTTGTCACTAATTCTCCGGTGTTTAAGGTCACACGTCAAATTCATCTGTAAGTCTCAAGCCAATTCTCACTCAGGTACTTTTAGGAAAAAAGATTTTTTTGTGTGATTGAGTTAAATTTTAATAGAAGAAAATTTCAAATAAAAAAGATCTCAGGCGTGAGATAGCCCTGCTTCATAATGTCAGAGATTTGCTTGAACTTCCTATCGGTGTAATAACAAGACCTAGAGAGCAAAATGTAGAATGAAAATATCATCTAGGTAAAGTATGTGTCCTTCAAATAGTGTGTTCAGGGTAAACATTAATTTATATCTTCCACTTGCTCGTACAAAGAGGGCTTGATATTAATTGGATACTATAAATGCAAATTTGTGCTCCTTCTAATCACATTCCTAGGAATGTGGTTGATTTTTCATAAATGATTACTAACGCCAATCACAGATATTTTAGGATGAGAGAATGTGGGTTTTACTCATCATTTCAGATAAATGTTAGAGCATAGATGCTGAGTGAGGACAAGATTTTTTTGACAGTATAGTAGCCCCAGTTGACGAGAGTAACCAAAGGCATCGTGATAGGTGTCAGAGAAAGATGGTGTTGGAGGTTGTCATACAATTCCAGCCTTTGGTCTCTATGCTACTAGTGTGATTTTGTTTGATTCCTCTGTATTTTCAAAGGCAGGTAAATTCCGCTGGGATTCAGGGCCCTATCTGAGTATACAAATGAATTCAGGCAGGTGGAATTAAGTAAAGCCCACTATTGTCTCCATTATATTGGTATTTTAGGCTGACTTACCTAAACAATTGGCTCATTTGTTTTGCTTCACTTTGCCAAGGAGGACCAAGCCTTAATGCATCAGTAAATTCTATCTGGCAATGCCTTTGAGTCATCACAGATTATGATCCAAATATGGGAGATTCAAATGCATTCGAATTATGTTCTGAAGTAACTTTATTTCAAGGAACCCATAGTTCTAATTCTCTGGAAGCTATCATTCTTCTGAACTCTTTATCAAAAGCTCCTCATTATTTTGGCTGACCTACAACCCTGGATCCTTTTTCCCTCAAAGTCTCAACAGATCATTTTGCTTGGGAGATAGAACATACCAGACTGGTATTCTGTTGCCTTTCAGTTCTTTCTTGAGAATAGATGTCTGCTGAAGAGCATTTTATCAGTCATTCAGACCTATCTTGTCTTGTTAGTTGAGTTTCTGCTGTTTCCAGTGCTCACTCTGGAACCACATCGTTGGAATAAGCATGGAACACTGAATTTCACTATCCAAGATTCTGAAATTTTTAGTTATGAATCTTTGTTCTGCCAACCAGGAGAAAAAGGTGAATGGAGAACTGACTCTATTTTAGTCTGTGGCTTTGTTCCATATTGCTTTAATACACTGAACGACTTTGAGTGGCATCCTCCAGTGGGTTTAGTGAGGAGCAGCAGTCATTCTCTTTTCTCCAGGATGGTACATCATCCTGCCCCTACAGGGGGCAGTTTGCTCAGAAGGTAACCCCTATGAACTCTGGTATCATTGCTATTGATTTTTCTGATTACAAAAGAGGTAGAGGGAAGGTT